CGTGAGAGAGATGAGGCTTTCCGCAACTTGCAGTTAAACAGCCTTGTGGCCCAATATTCCGTGTTGTTGTTGGAGCTCCACACTACACGTCTGTAAATCTTTAGGGAGCAGAAAGTCTCATATATATATATATGTATGTATGTTTATAAAACTGCCTTTTTAAAGGACCATCCGTTCTGTCCAAATTTGATAATCCATTAAAAAAATGTTTAGAACGAATCAAAACATCAGCATGCTTTTAGATGAAGTTGTCAGAGAAACACAATAAATAAGACATACAACTCATTAAAGGGTCCCAGTGAGACTTTTTGGCGCTGTGGCTCTCATGGGCAGAGAAGACAAGAAGCGGTATTAGTCCTCGCTTCCTGAAGTAAATCATGAACACACTGTTGAACTCCACTGTGGCTTTTAGTGGCTTTGAGCCTCAGTTTCCTCACATGTAAAATGGGAGCCATGGAGAAGATGGAATTCGAGAACTTTACCATCTTAGCCAAGCACAGTTTTAACATGTGGATTCAATGATGGTGGAGTCCTGGGATGGCGCTGCAGGATAAGCAGAGGACTGCAAGGTTGGTTTCAACTGCAAGCTCGGCAGTGCAAACTCACCAGCTGCTCCTCAGAAACCCTATACAAGGTCTCTGTTAGTCGGAAATGCCTCAATGGTACTGAACAGAAACAAACAGCAGAAAAAAGGAGCCCTAGTTGTGCGGCAGTTAAGTGCTTGAAAGCTACTAGGAAGCTGTGCCCCACAGGGTGGGAAGGACCTGGCGGTGGGCTTCTGTTAATGAAACCCAACCCAAACCCACTGCTATGGATTCCGTCCGACTCGGCCGTCTCATATAGGACTCTGGACACAGAGTCACAGCACGAGACAGCCTCATCTCTCCCGACGAGCCACTGGTGACTGTGAACTGTTGACCTTTGGTTAGCAGTCCAATGCTTACCCTATAGCACCAACCCTGTGGGGCAGCTCTACTCCATTACACCAGGGGGCGCTATGAGTGGATGATATATAAGTGTATATGTGTATATAGTGACACAATAGATGACAGCCTGGGAAACCCTGTGAGGCAGTTATCCTCCGTTTCACAAAGGGGCGCTGTGAGTGGATGATATATAAAATATTTACAAATATATAGTGACACAATAGATGACAGCCTGGGAAACCCTGTGGGACAGTTATCCTCCGTCACACCAGGGGGCGCTGTGAGTGGACGATATATAAAAGTATATACGAGTATATAGTGACAATAGAGGACAGCCTAGGAAACCCTGTGGGGCAGTTCTTCTCTGTTACACCAGGGAGCGCTGTGAGTGGATGATATATAAAAGTATATACGAGTATATAGTGACAGTAGATGACAGCCTGGGAAACCCTGTGGGACAGTTATCCTCTGTTACACCAGGGGGTGCTGTGAGTGGATGATCTATAAGAGTATATATGAGTATATAGTGACACAGTAGATGACAGCCTGTGAAACCCTGTGGGGCAGTTCTCCTCTGTTACACCAGGGGGCGCTGTGAGTGGATGATCTATAAGAGTATATACGAGTATATAGTGACACAATAGATGACAGCCAAGGAAACCCTGTGGGGCAGTTCTCTTCTGTTACACCAGGGGGTGCTGTGAGTGGATGATCTATAAAAGTATATATGAGTAGGTTGTTGCTGTTATGTGCTGTGGAGTCGGTTCCGACTTGTAGCAACCCTGTACAGGGTTTCCGAGGCTGTAAATCTTTACAGGAGTAGAAAGCCTCATCTTTCTCCCATGGAACAGCTGGTAGTTTCGAACTAATGACCCTCAGGTTCTCAGCCTGATTCGTAACCACTACGCTACCAGAGATCCTTATATATGAGTATATAGTGACACAGTAGATGACAGCCTAGGAAACCCTGTGGAGCAGTTCTTCATTACACCAGGGGGTGCTGTGAGTGGATGATATATAAGAGTATATATGAGTATATAGTGATACAATAGATGACAGCCTAGGAAACCCTGTGGGGCAGTTCTACTTTGTTACACCAGGGGGCGCTGTGAGTGGATGATATATAATATAAGAGTATATACGAGTATATAGTGACACATTAGATGACAGCCTAGGAAACCCAATGGGCAGTTCTACGCTGTGAGTGGGTTATATATGAGTATATATGATATGCAAAAGATTGAAACAAGACCTTTATGTCACACCATATACAAAAACCGACTCAACATGGATTAAAGATCTAAATGTGAATCCCAGAATTATAAAGGTCACCAATGAAAAAACAGGGACAAATATAAGGGTTCTAATACAGGGCTCACACAGACTACCAAACATTGTGAAAATTACATACACAAAAAGAAGATAAAATAGGTGATTGGGACATTCGAAAAAATTAGAAAGTTATGTGCATCTAAGGATTTCACCCAAAGTGTAAAAAGGGAGCTGACGTAATGGGGAAAAGTCTTTTGCAATGACATATCAGACCAGGGACTAATTTCTAAAATCTTTAGAAAACTACAACACATCTACAAAAAAAAAGACAAATAACCCAATTAAAAAAATGGGCACAGGACATGAACAGATACTTCACCAAGGAAGAGATTCGGGCAGCCAACAAACATATGAAGAAACGTTCATTCATGATCATTGGCCATTGTTGTTGTTAAGTGCCATTAGAGAGATACATATCAAAACAACAATGAGATATCGTTGCATACCAGCAATAAAAGTGAAGTTCAAAACAGCAGAGGACAATAAATGCTGGCTAGGATGTGGAGAGACTGGGACCCTCCTACATTGCTGGTAGGAATGCAAAATGGTCCAACCACTCTAGAAAACAGGATGGCGCTTCCTCAGAAAGTTGGAAACAGAAATACCTTATGATCCAGCAATTCCTCTACTTGGTATATATCCACAAGAAATAGGAATCATG